AGTACAATATACCCCAGAACCCTATTTTAATTGTTCAGGCTCCTACATTAACTAAGGACGGCACGCTTTGGATTCACAAGCCGGTTTGCTTGCCCGTGGTTTTCGAGCACGCCTACCACCGAGAACGGGCACTGAGCAATAAAGCAAGAGAAGCCAAAGGGCACCCCGGCTTTGAAGAGTTTAGGATTTCGGGTTTAGGATTTAGGATCTAGGGTTTAGGGATGTTCAGGGTTTGGGGTTCCGGTTTAGGGTTCAGGGTTTGTTCGGCTTTGGCTGTACTCTCAGCTTATCATAACTGTTCACAACTGTTTCACTGGTGGGTTCATGGTTTCTGCTCTGGCGATTTCCAAAACGTAGCGTTGACTGTGCTGTAAAAGTTTTGTGCTGCTTCTTAAGTTGCTCATTTGGTTTGGTTATGGTTTATTTTCTGGCGATCTCCAACATAAAGCCGTAAACTCGTTAAGTTGTTTCCCTTATTGGTTTACGTTCGCAGTTCTGGTGATCTCCAACATAGCCCGTTGGTTGTTTCTTTCAGGTTTAGGGGTTTAGGAATTTAGGGGTTTAGGGTTTCAGGGCTGAGCGCTTAGGGTTCATTTCCTCGCTGCTTTGCACCGCCTGTTCACATGATGGTGTCATTGTATGCCGACTTTGTATTACACGATATTGCTTTACTTCGCCTTGGGTTTCTGCTGCACTGCACTGCCCTGTATGTCAGAAGCTCCGGTTTGGTAGTCCAGGAATTAAAAGGGTTTAGGGTTTAGGGTGAGTGTTTGTCGGTTTGGGGTTTGGTAGTTGTGATTGCCCCGACAGAAGCCAAGACTGCCGTGTCATCGAATGATGCATCAGGAATGTATTGCCAGTTCCTGATGGCCTATAAGACCATAGCAGTAACCACTCAAGATTGCGATCCATGTACCTGGACCCTTAAATGTAGTACCTTTTGGGGTTACCTTAGTTTCTAATTAGAGGATCCTAACTATAAAGAAAGGTCATCCGAAAAAGGCACTACATTTCAGGGTTACAACTCCTTAGACCCTAAGCCTTACTAAACCCTCAAC